GCTTCTCCCAGAATCGCCACTCCATATTTTTTTACAATCCTATCTAGTTAAGGTCTAATTAGCTAGGATTGTAAAAAACATATGGAGTGGTGATTCTGGGAGAAGCTGGGGAGGGGGCGATTCTGGTAGAATCGCCCAAAAGAACTGGCCCTAAATAGATACTTATGTACCTATAAATGATTTTTGGAAAAAATAAATAGCAAATTGTGTGATGGCTGTAGTTCAAATTTGACCCGTTTCCTACTGAATCGGCAAAAATTTGTCAATTTGATGGGAGGATGGTGAAAAGTTTTTAACACACAATCATCTGGTTAATTGGACATAAATATGGTCTAATATTTTTGAAAAATGAAATGGTGCCATTTTGCAGCAAATATTTGATAGATTCTTTACATTGATGAGAAAATATATAAGAGAAACTAAAGAAGAAATACAATTACATGCGCTTAATTCTGATTGGTGGAGACGTTTGTGCCATGGATCGATGACATGGCACATATCCATCCATCCATCCATCTCCTCATCCCACATCCATCCATCCATCCACCCATCCATTCCCCACCGCAAACCCCTACCTGTCTCCACCCCATCGCAAACCCCTCCTCCCTTCCCCTTCTAGATCCACCGGCGAGCCCTTCCTCACCGCATAGCCACCCCCGCGCCCATCCATGGCATCCCCCGCGCCCTTCCATCAGCATCCATGGCCTCCCCCGCGCCCTTCCTCACTGCATCGCCACCCCGACCCCCTCCCTTCCTCTCCCCGACGCCCCCTCGCTCCGGGCCTTCATCCTCTCCGGCCAGATCAACCGGGCGCGGCCCCTACCCTAGGCAGGGAGGGTGGATCGCCGCTGCGCGGGCGCACGGGAAGGGGCGGCGGCGGAAGCGCATCCCCAAGATCTAGCCCGTCAAGCACCGTGTCGAAGTCTCTCCTTCGAGGAGCTCTATGTGCGGGTGTGCGGAGGCGCTCGTGAGGGCGGTGGTGGCCTTCTTCGACGCCTTCCTCGTCGACTGCTTCCTCTTCTGGTTCCGCCGCTGCCGCCCCCTGCCCCGGCCCCGACAGCCCCGCCTCCGCCCACCGGGTAAGCCAACCCTACCTCTCCCTCTCCCTCGCGTCCGGCTCCTCGGTTCGTTCGTTCTTCGATCCCAGGCGGTGATGTTTTTATTTTTTGGTGCGTTCATGTCTGTGCAGGATCCGCTCGTGCCCAAGGACTGGACAGGGGAGGCGCTCCGGGCCTCGGACGAAGAGAAAGGTGCCCTGGGTTTCTCGGTCAGATTTGTGATTTCGCGGTATTGGTTTGGTGTGCTGTGTACCTGTGGTTGACCTCTCTGCCGCTGGTTGGATGTCTGTGTGGTGTTGTTTCAGGTTTTGCAGAGAGCACATTGTCGAACCAGCAGATGGCGATGACACAGATGAGGAGCTTAGGCGAGAGGTACGCCTAGCAGAGCACCGTTAAATGAATTTCTGTTACTTTTTCAGTCACATGCGTGAGGAATGGTTGTGTTGTGCGGTTATTGTTACTGTCAGGTTGTAGCTCTAGGTCGATTGTGTTGTGGCTGACCTCTCTGCTGCTGGTTGGACGCCTGTGTGATACTGTTTCAAGTTTTGCAGAGAGCACAGGCTCGAATGAACAGTGTGTGTGGAACGAATTCTTGTCTGAATTCTCTTCTTGTGGGAGTATGAACTTGCTTGCAGTATATTGGAGTATCAACTTGGAGCATCTAGTTAGAGTAGCATCTTGCAACACATTCGATTACTCTAGTACTGATAGTTACAGTAGAATCTTGCAAAATGGAGTAGTTAGAGTAGCATCTTCGATTAACTAAATTGATGATAGTTGTTGTTAAGTTGGGACTTGCAAGCAGTAGTGCTTGCAAGCAGTAGTTCCCTCTTCTTATCTCTTCTTGCTTGCAGTAGTTTAATTTATGATTTGTCTTTAGTGGAGTATTTCTTGAACTGTGTTGTATTCCTGTGACTAAATGGTGAATCCAGTTACAGCAAAGCATCATCTCCTTGTCAGCTTAAGTGTAATGGAGCTGTTTTGTTACTCTATGCCTACTTCGTTACAGTTTGCATCATCATCTTGTCGTTTATAGCATAAACGCCTTCACTATTCTTGCTCTGAACCTTTGATCCTGATACTGATTGTATTTGTCTTGATGGAATTATAGGCAACATGGTGAATCTAGTACAGGCATCGTTGGCCATCCTCTTCGAGGCTGTGTTTAGGTGATTCCTCGGGTAGCCATGACACTACTCTGGCTGATTAGTACCCAGTGGCATGTTTGTAATATTTACAGGGATTTTACTTGTAGAAATAATGCTCATGGTATATTTTTATGTCCTGCAGCACATGCTCTTTTTCGGTCTGTACGGAATCTTGAATGGTGTTTTGGCAGCTGGGATATTAGATTGCACTTCTTTATGTGATTTACTCATGTTGGTACTGCTTGTTAAGTGATTATCTTTATGCCCTTGCTACCAGTAGAATGGTCTATACATGATTGCTCTGTAACTTGTCTTTTCCGGAACATTTTGCTTGGTCCTTCATATCTGACTATGTAATGTAGAAGCTCTACTTTATCCTAACAGTTGCATGTAGCATTGTGCTACTATCTGTGTGATGCTAAACAATATGCTCTTAATCTGTTGCTATATTCTCAAGTGTTGTTTACCATTTACATTGTTTTTACATTTGCTATATTCACAAATAGTAGTAGTGTCTGGTCTAGATAAGCAAACAAGTACTGTAGTAGTGTCTGGTCTGGATAAGCAAACAAGGTATGATCTATGCAGTTGTTGACCTGAATTGTTTGTTTCTGGGCGGTGTAGGATGAGCTGCAGCAGGACGACCTGTAGCGGAAGGACTTCAAGGGCAAGATCAAGGAGAACCAGGAGATGATCACCGGTTACCTCATCCTCGTCGGCATGGTTGGCTCCTTTGGCACACCCCTCTTCGGCTCCCACCAACTTACTTTTGTCGCTGGCTAGCAGCATTTCCAGGTACAGTTGTGTCCTGCTCTCTTGCCCTCCGTTTAGTTTTTGTTGGAGTGTGCATGGTGGCATCCTGAGCCCGCACTGTAAAATATGCTTTGCCTTCTTCATGAGCTGGCACTATAAATTTTTCTGTCTTGTTGATAATGCCATATGTCCTATGCAATCAGATTACATTTCTGTTTGTTATGGTAGTATAAAAAATATTGGTGCTGTTGTAATTTTCATAGTGTGTGCCTTTCATTTCTTTATTTTGATTGTTTCCATTGTATTCTATATGCTTCTAATGGCTGATCCTTCCAATGCCAGGTGTTGCGTGTTCTGGAAGATGGAAGAGGAAGAAAATTTATTTTTGTTGAACTATTTTTTTGTATTATGTTTTGTTGTACATATGATTTGATAGTTTTGTATAGGAACATGTGATACTATTTTGTAGGGCTTTACAGCCTGTGATGTAAACATATTTAGTGATGAATTATGAAATTATTTGCAAAATTTATCGAAAAGGAGAATCATTTGTATGAATATGGGCCGCATATATGTGAATGGGCTGAGAAGTGTACTGGACCAACTACCAAGATCGAATTATTATTTGACTGTATAAAATGGCTGAATGTAAACCAGAAAATGGGCTGCACAAAATAGTACTCCCTCCATTTTTATATACAAGGCCACTATGGAATATATGTTTTGCATCTATACAAGGCCATCAACAGTAATCGAGGCAAAATTAATGATATTTTCTCGTACTAGCAACTTGTTTAATAGTTACATGCATGCAGTCATAATGACAGTCAGCTACTTCCTTCACTCAGTTTTCTTACATGCATGTGGGGTATTAATGATCCCAGTAAACGAAAAGAAAGGCTGATTTTCAAAGCAGACATTAAATTTTACATTGGTACCTGTAATTTAAGTTTGTGGCCTTGTATATAAAAATGGAGGGAGCTTTATCTAATATTAAAGGAAGATTTCATAGTTCTCCATAAGTCATTTTTTTGTATCCGTTGATTTTAGACGGCCGAGATTTAATTGAGTGATCCTTGTGTTCTCTTTACATCCTTCTGCCTCGATAGAGAAAAAACAGATGAGGAGAGCACCGGCATGTCTCCTTGTCCCATACGGCCACCATGAAGTTCTTGTAACACGTGTCTTCAAACCCCTTTCTCGCTGGCTAACAGTGGAACCTCCTGGCGCCCATCTCTTCTTAGCTACGCTCCTTCTTTCCCCTGCTCTCGCTGATCTCCCCGTCTCTCTCATATCCCCAGGAGGCTAGCAGGAAGCTGCCGTCGCTCAGATCCGGCCACCCCACAGCCTCCGCGCCCTTGCCGACCTTCGCCGTTGCCTCGCCACATTGCCTCCTTCCGGTGAAGACGCCTCGAACCACCCAGTTTCCCAGCGAGGTGCTCGGGTTGGAGATGTGGAACGCCGGGGACGGCAGCAGCGGCTGCAGACATGCCTGCCAGGCTAGGCAGGGCGCCGCGGCTGGCGGCATCGGCGTGTGCAGGGCGGTGAAGGTGCTGCGGCAGCTCAAGCTCGGGCACGAACTAACTGGCTCGCTGGGCAGCCGGAAGGAGGAGAAGGGAGGCGCCAGAGGTAGACGAAGGTCAGGCGGCAGACGGAGGCGGTGGTGACGCGGCGGGTTGGCTTGCTTGACGGAGGAGCGGCGACCGAGGTGTCGGCACAGGGCTCCTCTCAGGCGCGGTTGCGTGCGTGCGTGTGGCGGCGGAGATCGATCCAAGGGAGTGATTGGGGATCGAGCACACGCTCTCGTATGTGGGATGTTGCTGGGCCGGTTCGCCCGGTTTGGTCTATTGGGCCACCAAGCTGTAGGAAAATGTTGGGGAGAGAGAGGAAGAAATGGGACGGCCTGGTTTTAGATAAAAGAAAGGATTTACATTTTCCATTTTAGTTCCCAATACATCTTTCTTTCGTCAAGCACTAGCTGACTAGCGCACGTGCGTATTTCTTTCATCAAAGCACCGGCTGACCAGGCGCACAAATTGATATCTGTTGATCCATTCCAAAAAAAATGAACGGTCCTGACCATGCGTCTCCGAGCAGCCGCCTAGCACACATACGAGCATTGATCAATCCGTTTCCATGAAAAACATGTTCGATCAATCCGTTCCAAAAAAATAGGGACTTCATTGAAGCGATGAAAAAAGATTTGCGTGTGTCTATATCAATCTCACGACCTGCCATCTCGACGTTAAGGCTGCCGCCAATTGATGTAGCACCTGCATGTGCTAAAAGTTAGGATCCGTTTTTGAATCAATGGTCTCACATCGCCTTTTTACACAAAATTCTACTAGCTTATATATGTTGGGAGTTGTGAGAATCAACAGACGAGGCATTAACAGATAGAGGTGGAGATATGGGTCCATTACCCAAGAGAAAATGAAAAACGAAGCAATTAATTATCCTGGCTGCACATGAGCTTGGGTGATTCCGTGGGAAAACCATGACCAAACCAAAAGAAGCTTCGGTCGATATTCTGGGACAAATATAGCCCAAATGAAAGCACAACCAATCAAAAGAAGCGCAACCGTATTAAGTATACAAAAAGAAAAGGGAGTTTATTCTAGACTACTAGACCACTTTGAAAACACTGTTCTCTGATGATGATGCTTCTTTGTGGTTAATACATGCACGTTGCATTATAAGAACATGCAGAACTAAGAACTAAGACCATTTTTAGATGACAAGACCATTTATGTACTTCAAAAGTTAGGCTACAAGACCACTTCGATTTTGCAAGTTCGGTAGGTGCACTTCATTTGCAGACAACAATCTAGATATGGAAGGTTTAACTTTTATTTTGTTGTTGTAATTACAAAAATAGATGACAACATTGAATAGACCATTGTTGAGGATTTTCATAACCCACCTTTAAGATTAGCAACATTTTCCGAATTGAGTGTTTTTGAATCGGATTACCAAATAAATGGTTATATGTTGCCATCATCTTCGTCACCAATCATCTCAACTTTATTTCTATTTCTTAGTATTCTAAATTTAGTGTTTTGGAGTCTGATAATTAGATAAATGGTGACCCATTATCGTCTGCAGCAACAATCGTTTTAGCATTATCTCCGGTTTCTCAATTGATGACTAGACTCCCGTTGCAACGCACGGGCATATTTCCTAGTATTCTTGAAAGGTCAAACGTGCATAAAAATTGATGGGCTGAATAGTTGGGCTTGGCCCATGTAGCCGACAGAAATTAACAAAAATAAATGTACTAAATCAGCTGAATTGTTGGCCCCGGCCTATGTAAAACACCGAACTGGACCGAGCTGATTCTTATCCACGTCAGCTTGCCATGCTGGATCCTACGTGGTCTGGGGAGGCTGCTAGTGACCAAAATTTTGGTCATGGAACCAACGACGTTTTACATATCACAAAGAAGGTCGTTAATTCTAGTTTACGACCGCCAACTTTTGACCATCTGTTTTTGGTCAAAAATGGTCACAAATGAAAAACAATGACCATTCAGCGACCAATAGTGATGGTCGCAAGTTGACATATTTCTTGTAGTGGAGTTGTCGGTGTCAAAACCGGCAGATCTCGGGTAGGGGGTCCCGAACTGTGCGTCTAAGGTGGATGGTAACAGGAGGCAGCGGACACGATGTTTACCCAGGTTCGGGCCCTCTCGATGGAGGTAAAACCCTACGTCCTGCTTGATTGATCTTGATGATATGAGTATTACAAGAGTTGATCTACCACGAGATCGTAGAGGCTAAACCCTAGAAGCTAGCCTATGGTCTCATTGTCTGTTGTCCTACGGACTAAACCCTCCGGTTTATATAGACACCGGAGGGGGCTAGGG